AAGGCTCATGTGGTCAGAAAAAGAGAGATATACAGTAAAGAGAGATTCAAAGAGGAAGAAAACCTCTAAACATTTTACAGTGTGTTAAAAATATATATGCAGGCTAAAAGTTAAAGTTCTTAATGTAAAAAAAGGAAGAAAGAGAGTAGTTGGGTGTGGTGGTACACACCTAAATCCCAATACCTGGGAGGCAGAGGCATATTGACCTCTGTAACTTCAAGGGGTAGAGGTAGATTGACCTCTGTGACTTCAAGGTGTGGTAGCACACACCTTTAATCCCAATGCCTGGGAGGCAGAGACAGAAGGATCTCTGAGTTCAAGGTGTGGTAGCACACACCTTTAATCCCAGCACTGGGGAGCAGAGACAGACAGATCTCTGTGAGTTCAAGGACAGCCTGGTCAACAGAGTTATTCCAGGACAAAGATATACAGAGAACCTGTGTCAAAAAGTAAAAGTAAAAATAAAAGAAATAGAGGTTAAAAATAAAGCTGCATAAAGATGGAAAATACACAGAGAATCTTGATACTGTATGCTATTATGCTCTCTTTAAATTGTTTAAATGCTGAGAAAGGAGCAACAGCTGCTAAAAGATACTTGTTTATAAATGCTGCTGAACTAATCCAAGATAGATATGTTGAAAATACCTTGACTTCAGAATTTTGTTCTAAGAATATGATGCTTTGGAAAGGAGGTTCTTCTTTTGTTTTCACAGAGGATGAGACCCTGTGGATTGCTTCTATCCCAATATGGTATGATAGACCACGCCCTCCTGAAAGGTTTCTGTGAACACCCTCAAAAAAATTTCATCACTCAACTGCTGACTGAGATGAACCTGGCAGACAGGTTATACCATGAAAGACCTGATTAACTGCGTCCCTATACAGCAGGAAGAAGTTTGGAGAGAAATAACTACGTCCATATTCCCAAATATTGTTTATAAATGTTCTTTTACATTTAAAGGGGGATATGATATAGATATGAATAATTTCATTGGTATGGATTTTAAGGTCAATTTTGTTATATGTATATATATTTCTGATCTTGACTGATGTATTGTGATTGTGTAGTTCATTTTAAAAATGTAATGTATAATTAGAAAATATAGGTTGTTAATGGATAATATCGATAATAGTCAAGCTTGTAGTAATGTTAGTCTGATTTTCTAGAAGTGCACAGATATATTTCAGATAGACATTCATATCTTTCAAAGACTACAGAGCATGGCATTTAATGTTTTAATAACTTAGGACTTTTCATGACAATGAGACACGTCTGCTCCTGGCAGCACCAATCTACTTCAAGAGGAAGATGGGCATCGGAGAGGCTCCTTATGGAGTTGGTTAGCCATTTGGGCAAGAAACTGCTCTTGCCTGAACTGTTGTATAAACTGGACACAGAGAACCCGCAGAGAGAGGACTGCTGAACTTGCCTAAAGGTGAGATGATCTTTCGAGGTTCTTGATTCATGAAAGAGTCTGCGAGACATTCTGCAGGACACAACAGATAGTGACTGAACTGCCTTTGAAATTTCCTGCTTCATGGAAATGTCTCTGGATATTATGGGCCTGAAGGCCGAAAATGGATGCCCCAACGATACAGAGGAACTTTGGGTGACTGTCCAGGCAGCGAGATGTCTCTGTCATTTCTAGAGTTTTGGAAGTTGCTTACTTCTTGTTTACTTAGGTAATATTATATCCTTCTGGAGTCTTTGATGGAGTTGAAGAATGGATAGTCATAGTTATAGTTTTCCATTATTATGATAAAGATATAGTTATAAATATTGTGACTGTAATTCTTGTTTGATAACTGTTTTGTTATACATAATTTTACTATGTTAAAATGAAAGCCTTTCTTTTTTGTTTAAACAGAAAAAGGGGAAATGATGGAGGAGGGTTATCTGTCTATTGTGTTATTTTCATTGGTCAAT